CCTGCCCTTCTAAGCTAGTAGGTGAACAGCTACTGGAGACTGTTATGTCCCTTTTGACCTCGTATTGTACAGGAAGTTCAGGGAAGAGTAGCGGAAAGGGTTGGAGCCAGCTGTTTGGAAACATGATAACTGTAAGCATTTGGGCAAAAGTTTAAAGAAATACTTTGCTGGATAATTTGTTTGATCTGGATTCATTATTGAAAAAAAGTTTGAGAGTTTAATACAATTTCAATTAAAATTTTGAGGCACACAGTAGCGCCCTTCAGCAGGTGAATGGACCTCAAGCCCAGGCTAGACACACATGTTGTTTCTTATTACAAAGCATTCATTTTTACTTAGACCTTACATAAATGTTATTTATTGATCAGTTGAATTGATCTACTCACTATAACCTCAATAAACTGACCCTCACCCCTAGCACACTAGAAATTAAAATTATTCACAATCTAGAAATATGAAGGGTACAGAAACAAATATTGGTGGGTGTTTGATTTACAACTGTAATATAATTGCATATTAGCCTACAACACAGTTTCAGAAACTAACAGGGTTATTCACAAAAGGGTGAAGAGTTTGGAGAAGGCAGGAGAAGTGAACAATCTAGGACAACATAGCTGAACTGGAAAGTGAGCTGAATTGGAGAATTTTTCCCAATCGGCTATGTTCTCCTATATTGTTCACTTCTTCTGCCTTCTCCGAACTCTTCACCCTTTAGTGAATAACCTGTAAAACTTTTATTGAAAAATTATAGGCTATGTTAAGAAATCTAAAAGGCTTTCCTGATAGAAATTATAGAAAAGTTTTAGTTTGGGTTTGATTTTCAGCTTACTGATTGGGTAACAACAACACATGTACACTGAACGCAGGTACATGTCACTGCTTGGGAGAAAAAGACCTGTGGCACCCTAATTGTCACCTTATGACTGCATCTCACGTCTATGAGTACCTCTATATTTAATGATAGGAATAATGTATTGATATAAAAACAGCACTTGTATCACGTTCACCGAAATATTGATGTCGAGCTCTGTGGAACAGATTAATAGGTCTATGGGACAGTATTAGGAAATCACAAAGTTCCCAAGCTGCCGTACTGTTTATATTTGGATTTCATGATCATTTAGATTATTTCTCTAGTGTCTCTTGCTCACTTTTATTGTAGAACAAAATCTCCCGAATGTCCCTTATCAAGAACATTTCTAGACTAGGCAATTCTATGTACAATGAATAAAAAAGTATCTGTATTGGTCTGATTCCTTTACTAAACACTGTGACCTATGTTCAGTCACACGTCTGATGTGTGCTTCCTCTGATATGAGAGGAGAAGGAGACAGCTGCAGGAGATCTATATTTATCAGTGTCTTGCACTGTTGGGACATCAGTATTTCTGAGCACACTGTCTAAAATTACCATGGGGCTTTCATCATTCACACGCAGGAGTAAAGCCTAGTATCCTGTGAGCGTCTTACAAGGGGCCAGGGAGCCAAATATTAGGTAAATCTGTGCATGTTTTATCTTTACTGATCATTTAGTAGCCTAACACTGTGCTTGTAATGCTTCTCTATCCCACAAATTGTTCTTTTCCAAATTGCCTCCAAGAAAGTCAGCAACTCCTATATTCAAGTTTTATATGGTTTACATAGACTTGAGCCAGTGCACTTATCATGTGGCTGAATGCACCTGCCAAAAGATAGGGATGAGGTTCGGATTTGAATCTGTAGGGTTCAAAACTTGACATCCTGACAAATTTGTGTTTGCATTCACTCTTTTTTAACCCATGATGCTTTGCACGGCCCTTTAACCATGGCCAGTAGGCTTAGAATGATAAGTCAGCCCCCTCAATTGCAGTGATGGTGTGTTTTGCCACCCCCCACCCCATGTTCTCAATTCTTTATTTAACCCAAAAGTCCTAATTAGGACAGATATCTCTGTCAGCACATTTGAATGCTAGGTTTTTGGGCAATTGCCTCTTTTGGTGCTTCCTTTTTTTTTATCCCACGGATTGGGGCTTTTTTTTCTTCGATTTTAGTTTGCAGTTGATTTGAGTGAAGCTGTCACTTTTAGCTGCTATCCTGTTGATCACAGGTTTGGTCTTTAGTTTAAGAAGAATTGTATTTTTTTCTTTTTTTCTTTCTTTCTTTCCTCCCCTTTCTCTAATTCCCCATTTCTTGCCCATTCTCATTTCCCTTTTCCTTCTGTATCCTCTCTATCTGCCTTTTGCTCTTCTCTGTTTAAATGTTGAAAATGGGCCGAGGGTTCCCTTAAACATGCTTTGTCCCTCCTTCCTGGTTTCTTCTCTCTGATTATGTTGTTACCTCCCCAGGCGGATGGTTCTGTCTGATGAGTGGAATGAGATACTTTATTTCCTATTGAAGGGATGGTTGCATGATTAATCTGTATCAAACGAAAGTCTTTCAAGTATGATTTTGCTGCATATCGTGCCCTCTTATATATGACTTCACTTCACATTGTGATTTATTGTTGGAAAAAGTTTAGATTTTTTTTTTATATTATCGTGTTTCTGGACATCTCTATGATATCTGCCTGATAGGGGTGGAGGTTGAGGGGCACTGGGTTGGTGGGAGTGGAGTCATGACTCATGACATTTTTGATGTTTTGACCCGCTTTTTATTTTTCTGTTTTTGAAATAATAACATAACTTTAATGGAAGAAAAGGAAGAGCATTACATAGTAAAAGTAAAGATTAGTGATGGACTGAACACAGCCAAGTTCGGTTCAAGTTCGAACTTTAGAACATGGAAAAAGTTTGAATTCGAACTTCAAACTCAATGAAAGTCTATGGGAACAGAACTCTGAAAATCAAATGTCCCCATTTTGAAGCCTTATATGCAAGGTATTGGCCATAAAAAGGGTATGGGGATTCGGATACTGCCCTGGGGGACATGTATCAATGAAAAAAACACTTTTAAAAATACTGTTTTTTAAAGGAGCATTGATTTTAACATTGCTTAAAGTGAAACAATAAAAATGAAAAATTCCTTTAAATATCGTGCCTGGGTGGGGGGTCCCCTTAAACTGCCTGTAAAGTGGCGCAGCTATAGAACCTGCTGCAGCAAAAAGTGATCTTTATAAAGAAAAAAATAACATTTATTTAAAAAAAAACAAAAGTGTGCGGTTCTCGCCCCTAACAATACCCTACCCTTTAGAACTGGTAGAAAAGTTAGAAGGAACCCCATTTTTTAAAAAAAGCACGGGGTTCCCCTAAAAGTCATACCAGACCCTTTAGGTCTGGTAGGAATTTTAGGAGGGACCCCAAGTTACAGTTTAAAAAATAAAAGTGTGCGGGGTTCCCCCCCAAAAGTCATACCAGGCCCTTAAGGTCTGTGAATAGCCCATACAGCAGCCCTTTTGGTTCGACTGAACTGAAGGGCTCCAGCGGCAGAAGCGAGCCGAAAGATCAGCTGAAGCTACGGCTAGATCCTTTGGCAGGTAAGTGAATAACCCTCTAACTGTCTCACTACAGATTGCAAAGCAACACATTCCAAGGACATTCTTTTTATAACATCTCTACGAGAGGCATTGAAGCAAGCAAACCTGTTATTATATAAATAAACTAATACCAGCACTTGATATTGTCATTTAATCATTATTAAAGCACATCAAATTATTTTTCTTATCACAATCATACTAATATGTGGGCAAGAAATGAGCAAGTGTTATATTGTGTTGGCCACAAACAGAAAATGGTTTAAATATGCATGCAACAAAAGGGCGTGCTTTAACCACTTCCGGGCCGGCCGTAGTAAAAAAACGGCAGGCCCGAGCTCTCTAGATCTGAGCGGGCGTCTTTAGACGTCCGCTCAGACACGCCCCCTCGCGCGCGCCCAGCTGCGTGCGGGAAGGTCTTGAAATGGTTAAAATACATGGGCAAAAAAGTGGCAAATGTTACAATGTGAGGGCAATGACAACAACAGTGGGAATAACAGGAAGACAGTGCCCTTTTCCTTCCCTTTAACTCCACGCCTCAGCAGCAGGGGGAAGTCTTCAACTTCCTTGAGAGCTGCAGGAGGAGAAAGCACAACCTGCACCTGCTTCTGGCTCTTTTGAAATATTAGATTAAAGTATAGCTGGACAAAGGTACATTGGATTAATTAAACGTTTGTACCTTTATTGTCAGAGTAGATCAGTGTATGCAGACTGACTATGTCCAGTCCTTTGATGAATTAGGCAAGGCTAAGATAATGACTGGAAGAGATTGCCTAATGGCCACTTTATTTTTATGTATGCACCTGATGACACAAATGACCCGTTTTCACAGTATATGGAGTTATTGCTCAAATGATGTTGTATTAACATTTAATCAAGTGTTGGTATCATTATAGTGAATATCCCATGCATGGGCTATTTCTTTGCTGCTGTCTGTCAACCTAGCATAAGGCCCATTTGTTTTAGATTTTCAGGGCTACTTGATTGAGTCAAAATACCTGCAGAGAATGCTAAGCAAACACCAGATTACCCATTCTGAACATGTCCAACCTAATTCATAAATACTAGAGTTAAGGTTTTCTTTTTCTTGCTCCAGTTTGTGTGATCTGAGTTGACAGTTCTCATCACTATTCAATACCATGACATACAAGATGGTAAATTATTACAGCATGGTCATCTCTGTATAACTTGCAGCCAGGAAAACTCTGAGGAAAGCTTGATTTACTTACACAGACTTTAATGGTCCCTGGGGATGCTGGAGCTACAAATATAGACAGTGATGCTTCTCAATAATGTATTGTAAAACATTATTTTATATTCATGCTGATAATGTATTCCGTCACACTAAATAAATCAGTGTTTGAATGTGTGCAGCCTGCAAACAAGAAGCACCAAATACAATAACTCATTACTAATGCCTTTTACTGCAAATATTAATTACCTAGCACAGTTATTTATAATTAACCCTAATAACTCTAACAATATTCTTCTTGTTTTTTTTTTCTTTAAAAACCATCAAATGGCTCTGAAATTTAATATTTACACACAGCGCGATGGAGAATGACACAGTAGAGGAATTTGAAGCCATAGGTCCAGATGACATTTTCACGGCTCTAGCTGAGGCAGAAGATCAGCTTGAATCTATAGAAGAAGAAACTGAGCCTGAGGAAGAGGGCAGCTTTACTTTCTATCACAAAGATTTCTATGACTCACGGGGAACAGTGGAACTCTTTCGAGAAAAAGCAAGAGAGGAGGAAGAAGAGCAACAGCATGAAGCAGCGCAAGAACCAACTTCTGGTGGTGAACAGATCCAGACAGATATACAAAAAGAAGTGGATGAACTGGCAAAGCTGTATGGCTTGTCTGATGATGAAAAGGACTCCACAGTGGATCCAGTGATAATAGCACACCCATCCAAACACATCCTACCACAACATAATGTTAGAAGTACAAAAGAACCCCTACCATTACCCAAGCAAAATAAACTAACTGAAATCTATCCTAATGAAGACAAACCCTTTAACCTCCCAGATAACTCTTTAAAGAGTAAACAAATCAAAGCTGCCATACAAGAGTCTGATGGAAAAGGCAACAATCCTGAAGATGAAGAAGAAAGTATTGAAGCCAAACATTCCCCCCATAACGATCGCTATATAGATGAAACTTCACAGTCGCATACCCAACCTCCACGAAGTGAGAGAGGAGATTGTGTACCGAAAGAAGAACCCTCTGACTGTACAAACACTAACCAAGAAAACAATGTACGAGTTTCAGGTTCTCAGGAGAACCAAAACTCTCCCACTGATGTTAGTAAGAAAACTGAGGATCCTCCTGATGTTTTCTGTTTCGAATGCAAAATCCCCATTAGAGCTTTTGACAAACCTTTTGGCATACACAAGTACCACAGTGTCAAAGAAATAGCTTCTGCTGTAGAAGACATCAAGGTACAGTAAGCAATTCCTAACTCTCTACTATGGAGATAAGGACAGATATCTAACTACACTAAGCAGCATGAGCTACTGCTCATGTGAAGTATAGTTATACATACAAGTTAAAATTTAATTGTGATATTTTGGAATTAGCTTCTTGATTTGGTAAAATAAAATTCACAAAATAAAGTGAGGACTTGTGACAAGGAGCAAAGTAAACATCCTCTATTAGCTCCCTATGAGCCAGAGTTATCAGAAGTGTGAAAAGCAAAGATCCTTTCATTCAGGGATGTTGCTGATTACCAACGGGTAACTTAAGTACTGGTTCAGGCAACAATATAGCTGAGGAAGCTATTTTGTTGCCTGAACCAGTACTTAAGTTAAAGATGACAGAAATGGAAGCTTCCATATTTATATTCCCATTAACTAAGCACCGAATATAAATATGGAAGCTTCCATTTCTGTCATCTTTTTGGAGGTGCATGCTCAAGGCCTGTCAGGTTTATCTTTACTTCTTCACTTGCTGAGACACTGACCTGAAACAAGCATCCAGGAGCTGCACATAACTAATTCAGTAGTAAAGCAAGGATAAGGATGACAGCCCTGGATTATTTCCCTCCAAAAACAAATCAGTAATGACCTTCAATATTTCTACACTGACAGGTTCCTATTTACTGTGTACCAATGTAGTGCACCTGTGACCTACATGAAGCTGTGGAAACTATATTGTTATTCGGTTATTCCCTGTGTATACATATTTGTTTTTGGGTTTACAAATGTTTTAGACCCTGTCCCTGCCCAGGGGTAAAAACTCAGCAAGTAATTCAACTGTCTAATGCCACAGCTCATAGGTATTGGGCTTAGCAACAGGACTACCAATCCCAGCAATACATTATACAGCAATGCAGAATAATACAAAGCTACATACTCTGTGTTGCTCCAGGGTGGCCGCCTGATGTCTCCAGGGTCTCAAGAGGGCTGTGCAGTGTCTCCGGTGAGCTGTGCAGGGTCTCAGGTGGGCTGTGCAGGGCCTCAGGAGGGCTGTGCGGGGTCTCAAGTGGGCTGTGCGGGTTTTCAGGGGGGCTGTGTGGGGTCTCAAAAGGGCTGTGCGGGGTCTCAGGTGAGCTGTGCAGGGTCTTACCAGATGTCTGGAGGGTCTCGCGGGCGGGTGCAGGCAGTGAAAGCACGGTTCCCTGGGAAGGAGGAGCAGATGTGCGGCTGGTGCTGTAAACAGGTGCCTTGGTTCACAGGAAGGCTGCCGAGGTCCCCAACGAGCGTGGAACCTCACACAGCCGATTAAGTTTAAACATTTTAAGCGCCTTTATCGGTGTTTAGTTGTGGATTGCTTCCTGGTGCATTCCTTGTTTGAAGCTATTTCAAATGCTAATGACATTTCTTACAAACGGTGCTGCTTATCAATGTTTAAACATTTTAGTTTCCTGCAGAATCAGCTGGTCCCCTGAGCACTGGTCCTGAATACTGATATCCTGTTTTAGGGTGGGTCCTTTCCCTTACAAGGTCCTATGGAGCCACCGTTGTCTGTGCTAGTAAGCTGTGTGTGACTCCTTCCGGCTAGTAGATGGACAGTTGCTGGGGACTGCTTTGTCCCTTGTGATTTTGTACTTTACAGGAAGTTCAGGGAAGTCGATGCGAGAGACTTGGAGCTGTTTTGAAATATAATGATGGTAAGTAACTGGACAGACATTTAAAGAAATACTGCTGGGCAATGTTCATATGTTTGATCTCTGATTTCATTATTGGAGTAATAGAGTTCAATGCTACTTTAAGAGATTGTTTACTTTTGTTTTTAGGAAGATGTACACAAAAACATGTGCAAACTGGAAGAACAGATTTCTCAGATGGAGAACTTTGCTGGTCACCTGGAAGAGATATATATCACAATAGAGGTGATTATCTATACTCATGTTGTTGAGAAGAATTTGTTCACCCGCCTGCACATTTGATCCTAAGATATCTCATAAAACAGGTGCACGTTATATTCTGACATTTGCTTATGTTGTCGATTGAACTGTTGTGATGGCTATAAAGCCAATTGCAAAACAGCAAAACCCAATCTCACTATGGCAATGTTAATCAAGGGAGTCAGGATTCCATGTTTCGGACAAACCCACCATTATTCCTAAACTATAATTAAGAGGGGATTTGTTAGCGACACGTAAGACTTAAAGGAGTTGTAATGTCCCAGCGTACACTATCCTCTTATAACATCAGCACTGTAATAGGAATACATTCTGTTTTGGATAATGCAATCAAAGCTTACTTGAAAAAAATCCCTTTTATGTAGTGAGTGCTGCCTTCTGTATGCCCATCACTTTCCACAACTTCCTGGATTCCCAGTGTGCTTTGTATCTCTTTCCCTGCTGCTTTTTGTAGTACAATCTCGATTTCTAAAGACTACATTGTTTCCAGCAAACAATGATAATGTTATATTGTTCAGACGTTGAGTTGCAGTATAGTACAGGGCTTCTTAAACTTTCTCCACTCGTGACCCCTTTTTGGCCGAGGAAATTTTTACAAGACCCCAGCTTCGGACGGTGTCTCTCCCCTCTTTCCCCCCAGCGTCGGTCGATGTTTACCCCTCCCCTAACGTCGGTCAGTGTCTCTCTCCTCTTACCCCCACTAGCGTCGATCAGTGATTCTCTCCCCCCCACCCCCCATGTTGGTCTGTGTCTCTCCTACTAATCCTCTCCTCAACTCCTCAACTCCCCATCCCCCCCTCCCCCGCCGTGGACGGACGGTCGGTGTTTGTCATTACCAACTACTACTACTACCACCCCTCCCCTCTCCCTCCTTACCTTTACCTCCAGCAGCTGTGCTCCACTTCTGCTGGGTTGAAGAAAGCTCCGTCAATGGGGAAAAAAACCCTTCCTGCGCACACGTGCCGGGGAAGGTACCAAATGCACAGGGGGGGGGGCCCACGACCCTAACAAGTACACTACACTGCACATTAAACGAAAATAAAAAAAATCTTGCTTGTACCGGCAATACCCCCCTGATGGCGGTCCTGGCCGGGATTCAGATCGCGACCCCCCTGTTCACTTGTGGGACCCCATATGGGGTCGCGATCCACACTTTAGGAAGCACTGGTATAGTAGACAGACTCTGAGTTGTGACACAAGGAAGTGCATATTCACAGGGCTGAGTGAAATTGTGTCAGTGCATTGAGGGAGTACATCCTATGGATGTCTTGAAAAAGTAAGTTTACAAACTTATAGATGGATATGGTTATTAGGTGTGGAATAGACCTTATGGAAATTCAATATAGAAATACATACTGTATTTAGTTTTAGTTTTTGACCAGGAATACCCTTTAATTACTGAATCTTTTCTAAAAGTCTGTTTTTATGAGAAGATTGCAATATGCTGATGACATTCGTTCATAAATGATACAGGTATAATTACAGATGGAGCCCATGCCACAAGGACTTACATTGACATAACGGGTGCATTGTGATTTCCCATAGTCTTCTTAAGCCCTTCATGACTGAGGCCTTTTTTTCATTTTTTGTACCCATGTTATATTCCACATTTTAGGCCAGAAAATTACTTAAAAGGGCAACCTTTTTTGGCCATAGTTCTTTTCAGGGTCACAGGAGGACATATACTAAAGTGCTCCGGTGACCCACCTCTCAGCATATAGCAGGGAGCGGTGACGGACAGTCACTGCTCTCTGCTGGGAGAGGAAACTTCACTTGGCTATTGAAATCCTTTCACTGAAATTATTCCATTATATTTTTCAACTTTTAGGAGAATTTTGGGCGACAAGAACAGAACTTTGAGATGCATTGTACTGAAGTAATGGACACAATTGCAATGAAGCATGAAGAAAAACTACAAGTTCTGGGCGGTGAAAAGAAACTGAAGCTGGAATCATTATTTGAGCAGTTGGTGAAATGTGGAAAAAGTCTTGACACCTCTAAAGGTTTAATGGAGACTATACAGAAATTATTTATAGAGAATGACAAACTGGAGTTTGTGAAGGTGAGAGCAGTGACACTAACATAGTTATTCACAAAAGGGTGAAGAGTTTGGAGAAGGCAGGAGAAGTGAACAATCTAGGACAGGGGTGCCCATTAGGTAGATCGTGATCTACCAGTAGCTCTCAAAGCTGATGCTGGTAGATCAGGAAGGGTGTGAATGGAGGCCCCTTTATTACATTTTGGTATATTTATTTAGCTGTGCACACATGATTACCTATTAGCCTGAGTGTGCTGGGCCAAGTTCCCTGACACCTTTCTGGTGTATACTGGTGGTTGAAGTGCTATGTATTACATCAAAGAATATTAGTTTACACAGCCTGTTGCACTGCACTGTTTGCGAAATACAGCAAGGTGAGCCAGGAGAGAGAGCAAGGAGAGACAGCCAAGAGAAGAGAGTGAAGAGAGACAGGCAGGAGAGAGAGGAATAACAGCCAGGAGGATGAGCAAGGAGAGACAGCCAGGGGAGAGAGAGGAGAGACAGCCAGGAGAGAGAGGAGAGACAGCCAGGAGAGAGAGTAGAGACATCCAGGAGAGAGAGAGCGAGGGAGGTTTTTTTTTCGTTGGTAGATCTCATGTAGCTCGTCATTTGAAAAGTAGATCTCAACACAAAAAATTGTGGGCACCCCTAGTCTAGGACAACATAGCTGATTTGGAAATATTCTCCAATTCAGCTCACTTTCCAGTTCAGCTGTGTTGTCCTATATTGTTCACTTCTCCTGCCTTCTCCAAACTCTTCATCCTTTCGTGAATAACCCTGTAAATATAAACACATTTCAGTAAACCTTTATTGAAGACCTTGTACAAAGACAGAGCAGGGAGTATGAGTGAGTGCTAAATTGACCAATATTTCAAGGTTAGAAATTCTGGCAGGTTTTTATTCCTCTGCGTGTCCCCATTAGCGATATTATTGATCACTTCTTGTCCTGGGCATGAAATAGACATCTCTCCAGTGGTGACAAAACCACTTTTCTTTAGTAAAGTATGGAAGAGTTAGAACCTTTATCATTTTTTTTCTCTAAAGTATATGTAAAGCCAAGTCTTTTTTCAAACTGGTGGTTAAAAGCCCTGTGTCCCATTTAAAAGAATTCCCTTCACTTCCTGTCATGCAGATAAACCAGGAAGTAAAAAGAAATCTCCAAACTGAGGGTGATCCCCCTATTGCAATTCTCAGAAAATACAGCATTATGGCATTATGTCTTTGGAGTGTGGGAGGAAACTGGAGGTAACCAAACTCCAGGCAGATAGTGTCATGGTCAAGATTCAAAGCGGGGACCCCAGTGCGGCAAGGCAGAAGTGCTAATCACCAAGCCGCATATTATTTTGTCTACTTATATCGCTGGATTTACTGATTGGTTTTGCCATATGGTTTTCTCTGACAGTAACTACCTCTGTTTAACCATTCCTGTATCATACGTTCAGATGGAATTCATGACAGGTCTTCTTTAAAGTAGATAGCATTAGTTTTCATTGATTAGTTTATTTTGCCTCATATCGCTTTTTAACAGCTGTTTACTTTTGTTCTTAAAAATGGTTTATGTCCTTGATCATTGCTGAGTATGTAATCCTTTTTCTGTTTTCTTTCTATCCTGCAGAATGCACTTGACACAGCCAACAGGTAATGATTATTATTTTTGTTAGAATTCTTTATTTTCATACTTGACAGCTTTCTAAAAGAACAGTATCAAAATTCAGAACACACAAAGATGAAACAGTTACATAGTTACATAGTCGGGTTGAAAAAAGACCCAAATCCATTGAGTTCAACATGCAGAGAGAAGAAAAAAAATCAAAACAAAAAGCTCCTAAAACAGAATGCTATGCCCACAGGTACCCACAACTGATCCAGAGGAAGGCAAAAAACCCTATAAAGCATGGTTACATAGTTACATAGTATTTGAGGGTGAATAAAGACACAGGTCCATCAAGTTCAACCTTTGTGTGTCTGTGTGTGATTGTGCATGTGTATATGTGTTGGTTCAATTTGCTCCAACAGGGGCAAAACATCGTTTCTGATCCCATAAGGCAATTGTATATTCCCTGGATCAACAATCTCTGGTGTTTAATATACCTATAAGAACTCAATATCCAGTTGTATTCTGTGCATTTAGGAATACATACAGATTTGTTTAAACAGTTAACTGAGCTCGCTAGAACTAGCTCCTGGGGGAGTCTATTCCACATTTTCACAGCTCCAACAATGAAGAATCCTTTCCATATGCAAAGGTTAAACCTCTTTTCCTCCAGACGCATAGAGTGCCCCCTTGTCCTGTGACCTTAAGGTGAACAATTTGGCACCAAGCTCACTATATGGACCATTTATGTATTTATACATGGTGATCATGTCCCCCCTTAATCACCTCTTCCCCAGAGAGAAGAAATTCAGGTCAGTTAATCTTTCCTCATAGCTGAGCTCCTCCATGCCTCTTATAAGTTTAGTCGCCCTTCGCTGCACTTTCACCAGTTCCACAACATCCTATTGTGAACTGGTACCCAAAACTGAACTGCACATTCCAGATGAGGTCTTACTAATGCTTTGTACAGGGGCAGGATGATGTCTCTATCTCTGGAGTCTACTGTATACATTCCACAGTAATGCCGCACATATCTATACATTGGAATCTATACCTCGGTACAGGGGTATTAACTGGTGAACATTAATCAACAACTATGATTTATTTCAGTATAAATTTAGATTCACATCTTAAAGAAGAACTCCAGGCATATAAAAACTTAAACCTTACAGTGGAGCTACCCACCGTCCTGCAAGGGTTAACTGCTCATTTTTCTCTAGGGTTTAAAATTAAGAAGAAATACTCGCCTGATCCTCAATCCTGCAACAGTGACTGCTAACATCTCTCCCCCTCTGCTTCGAGAATGTGGGATGTCCGTTGGCGTTCTCATTTCTAATAGACAGTATTAGACCTGAAGACTCTTGGATCCTTAGACCGCTGGAATGAAGGGGGAAAAAAGGCTGCAGAGAGAGAGACAGAGAGAGAGAGAGAGAGAGAGAGAGAGAGAGAGAGAGAGAGAGAGAGAGAGAGAGGGGGAAGGAAGGATAATACAAAGCCCAACGGGGAGAGTGAGTTGATTACGGTGTGACAAACACAAGGTTTTGGGTAGCTTTCTGTGTTTTGTACTCTGCATTGACCATATTTGAGCTAATCTGTTGATGAACAATATTGATTCTTAATATTTGCAGACTCCAGAAATACTTCAACACAGACATCAATTTAAATATTTCTACAAATGCAGAATTTGAAAACAATAGCTTACATGTTTCTGAAGTGGAAAAGTTTTTGGATTCCATTAATACTCTACCAGGTATGTACACCTGACAAACCTAACATGCTGCAAAGCCAGGGCCCGATAGCAAAATTTTGTATGGGGCCCCATGGCTTACTAATAGTAAAGTGCAGTGAGGTGTAAGTCACATCCTGCAGCTCTCTCTTTTCACAGCTTAGAGTTACACTAAGTGTGGATATAGCAACTTCTGGGGCTCCAACAAACTACACCTTCGGGTCTCCTACACAGCAGCCATTGTGTCTTTGCCCTCCTCTCCTCTTGCCCAATCACAGAATGCTTTTCATTTTGTGAACCCATTCAGAAAATCCGAAGCGTTCTGTGAATGGACAGGGGAGAGGGGTAGGCAGTGCAGCTACTGTGTAGAAGAGCCAGATCTCTCTGTTGTTGGCCAATTGGAGAGTCGAGGAAGACATAGGACAGTGAATGCTGTAGTCAACATGCATGACAGAGCACCCTTTTGCAACCAAAAAATAGGAAGTAGAATTATGTTACATTTTTGTTATAATCTTTTGCATTACTGCTACCTCCACAGGAATGTGCATATCATAGTAGAGATTTATCATTTTGTTCTTCTGTGGTTTAGAGAAATATGGCCTGCATATCTGGGCCAAAGCTAGTGGAGGGGGCTAGCGGGCATGTGCACCAGGTGCCGCTTTAGGAGGGGTGCCACTGGTTGTGTGGATAGAGCAATTCTCCCTTGGTTGGGAGCAACTCTGAGCCTTTGCCCCAGGTGACAGAACGTCTAGCTTCCCCACTGCTACATATTATGGCTGAACAAGCTGTCACACACGTGTGGAATGAAACCCCTGGCAGATAGCCTAACTTATCCTGGTTTGTGGTCATTCTCAGCTGCGATTTGTAGATTAAATTGCATTATAAATTAAACAGCTGACAACATCTATCTCTTTGATCAGATACTTTCTGGTAGATTTGAGGTTAACAGTTGATTATCAGCACACATCAGTCTTTTTTTGCTGTAGACTTTAATTTATTAGCAGCAGATGAGTCACCAGAGAGGTCATCATCATGTACCTTCAGCTGTTGGTTCGAAGATCACATCATGTGCAGTCACGCAGTCTGCCACCATTGTACATGGCGTAGTATTTACAATATGATTTATGATTTTTATGAATTGTTCTATCAGTAATCCTTAATATCCTTATACTGCAGTGCCTTCAGCGCCTGTAATTAACCCTCAAGCACCTAACTCTGCCACAGCAACATCTCTCCGTGTATGCTGGAGCCTTTTCTCAGAAGACACGGTAGAACATTATCACCTCTTCTATAAGCCAGTATCTGATGTTGCTCCAGGGGAGGATCGGCAAGGTAACGTTTTTCGAATTAACTGCTGAACAACATGAATTGTATTTTTCCTCGCTATTCATACATTGTTTGGATGTTAGTGCAGGAAATATTCACAAGTAAGAGTTCTTGTATTCTTTTTACAACAAAAACTATACAAGCAGCAATCCAGGCAGATCTAAACAAACAATCCATGCAGTTCTGCATTCATGTAAATTAATTTATTTATTTATTTTTTATATTCATTGAGGGACACAGGATTCAGAGACATTTGGGTTATACTGTCACTTACAGGAGGATTTGGACATTGGCAAACAAAAAAACCCCTATTAACCAGCCTGGTATGACGTCTCTCATTCCCAGCATGCCTCAGTTTTCTGCTAGTGTTCTAGGAATGGACATCTTTTCTTTACTGAGAAATGTTTAACTGTTTTACCAGTCATTTTTTCTTTTTTCCCTCCATCAACACTTCATCTACATGCTGCTTGGGCTGGTCTTCTATACAGCTATCCAGACCAGCATTTCCTCAGCAATAGCTTTAGAGGCCATTATTATTATTATACAGGATTTATATAGCGCCAATCATTTGTGCAGCGCTTTACAACATATAGGGAGACAGTACAATACAATACTATACAAAATGATTAGAAGGATTGTTTGTGAGTGCTTACAATCTACAAGGAGGTGCTGTTGTGGAAATTTTATTAGGATGTGTTTTTAGTATATTGTATATGTGAATATTGTCATCATGTCTCTCAGGGTCAGTTTTGCTGGGTTATGCTCTATGGAGCATAGCCGGGATTAATCAGCACTGAGTGTAAACCATTGGTGTGGATATCTTCCTGTGGATGGGGAGAAGCAACTGCTGTGCAAGGAGATCTCCACCTCCGAATGGTCCATGTGCTATGCGCTGGGCTGTTGGCCAGGGGAGATTAATGTGCATCACGGAGCGGTGTCCTCTTAGCGAGTGTATGGATGCCGGCGAGGGCCCCTGTGTAATGTGCAGATTTATTCGTTTGGAGTGGATGTATTTGCTTTAAGGACGCAGTATCATTTGGATACATATCTGCCTTTAGGAACATACGCTCGTGTCTTTTTGGTGTGTCTGATCAGCACATGGAAACAATATGGCGTGTTCCCTGCACATATACTCACATTGATGTGAACAGTAGTATAATCCTATTAGGCCTTGCTCACTGAGCAATGCTGAGTAGAATTTGCTCCAGTGGTAACGGCCGGCGTATGTGTTCGAGTCTCATCAGAGCGGCGTCCATAGTTAACACGCTGATTCCTTTGTGTGGTGTTTTGGCGGGAACTCCATTGCACATGGTTTTCTTTGTTAACTCGTATGCACAGAGTCCCCATGAACTAGCAGCTGGAAACTGTGCACGGTATGCTCCACAAGCACGAGCATATACTCCCCTTTCTATTGTCTATTCAAATGTATACATGTGTCTTATTGGCTGACTCCGTGTTATGTTAATGTATTGAGGAATTGATTGGCTGTTAGGCCATCACTTCCTGCAGTTATTCCTTTGTGTGCTCGCTGTTGCACTAGGCAGGACTTTTACTGAGCATCCAACGTGAGAACAGCTGGTGTCTGTTTTTACTTGGTACCGCTGAGCGCGCTCAATCATATTACACAAAAAGAGCATAGAACTGTGCTTTTTAGCGCAGCAGATTTCTATGCGCAGGAGCGTATATTAATTTCCAGAACAGTGCAAGTGATACAGAATGTAATAACTGTGAGGGATGAGCTGATTGATGGATTAGATGTATAGTTTTAGGAGCTTCACTGAAGTCATGAGTTTTCAGGAATCTCCTAAAGGCAGACAGAGTAGGAGAACTCCGGATAGGTTGTGGTAGGGAGTTCCAGAGAATGGGAGAGGCTCTGGCAGGGGTGTGGAAATTCTGGAAAAAACTACTTGTCCAAGGACTAAAGTGGGGGCCGAATCTACTTGTCCCTCATGACAATCTACTTGGCCTGATACAAAAAAAATAATTTTAACCAAAACCGTATTTAGCAGTGCTAAGAAGCGCTTCTCATTGGTCAGTGCCATCAGGTGACCGCGTTGACCAACGAGTGTTTGCTATTTGCGAGCAAAATTCAGAATAAGTGGAACAGGTACAGATAGTACACCCGTACTGGTGGACGGAAAGGACCGGTCGCCGAAAGGTAAGTATAGTGGGAGGGAGATTTGTGCGGGTAATTCCATTTTCCCAAATTACTTGGGAAAGTGAATTTACCCTTTAGGGCTGGTGCAGGCTTGGGCAATCCCGGGACGTGCGATCGTGTGCGGTTGCATACAGCGGTTGCATACAGCGGTTGCATACGCATTTATGGGGTTACATCTGCGTGACAATCGCTGAAAAAAAGGTAGATGTACCTATTTTCACGACATGCACCGCACAGTGTTTTCAACCGTGATAGCCCGGGCGGTATTGCAGCAGGTAAACTTGCAATCTGCCTGGCACGACTGGGGTGCCGTTAGAAAATAATGGCACTGACAGCACGATCGGCGGTGGTGTGAGATTCCGTGACCACCCAGCCATCTGCTCGATTTCGTGCATGATGACCGGGCAGTAACGGATCGCACACCACTGCCGATTGTGCTGTCAGTGCCATTATTTTCTAATAGCACCCCAGTCGTGCCAGGCAGATTGCGCGTTTTCCTGCTGCAATACAGCCCTGCCCGTGCGGTTGCACACGATCGCAGTTGAAAACACTGCGCGTTTATTTGCGTGCAGATGGGGGCAGTGCGGCTGGTTTTCATTTTTTCAATTTTTATTTACTTTGGAAAAAATTTTCATTTGTTTTGTTTTATTATTTTTACGTTATCACCCTTTTATTTTTTACATTTTTATTTAGTTACGTTTTTAATATTTTTTACTTTTTTTTAACTATTTATTTTTTAAACTCAACTGTATTGCTATTACACAGGGGTTAACAAATCCCCTGTGTGATAGCATTTGGAGGTGACAGGTACACTTTATTCAACCTGTCCCCTCCAACACAGGAGTTCTAGCAGGCACTGTTGCTAGAACTCCTGTGTGTGTGACAGGAATGAGCAGCAGCAGCTGAGGACAGAGGCTGAGGGAGGTGACAGAGCCTGTCACTACTCCACGCCCCCCACTCTGTCTCCGCCCCCCGTTCTCGGCGCTCATTTAAGAAAATATAAACCAGCCTTGCTACTTGTCCGTAGCAGGGCTAAAACAGTGTAAAAAGCACTTGCCCGGCGCCCGGAACTACATGTCCCGGGCGTCGGGCGATACGAATTCCACACCCCTGTCTGGAGAACATGTGGTGGCACGCTTGGGAGGAGGTGATCAAAGAGCTAGACAGCAGGATGTCTTGGGAGGAGTGGAGAGGACAGTTTGGGTGATATTTCAACATGAGGTTGGTGCTGTAGCTGGGAGCAGAGTTGTGAATGGCTTTCTATGTTGTTAGTATTTTGAATTTTATGAGTTGCGCTATTGGAAGTCAGAAGAGGGATTGGCAGTGAGGGGTGGCAAGCCACTGGGCAGTTTGTGAGTTGGATGAGTTTGGCAGCAGAATTCATGATAGACTAAAGGGGTAGTAGACTGTGTGGAGGTAGGACAATGAGAAGGGAGTTGCAGTAGTAGTAGATTTGATGCTAGAACCGCATTAAGCCTATCAGTATTGTAATATTGAGTTTAGGTACAGGTACTTTTCAAGTATTATGAGCTAAAGTTGTCCTGTTTTACAGCAATTTTGTGGGAATAGTTTCCATGTGGTGAAATAATGATGCATGAGTCACAAATTAAATCTCTGCAGATTCTTTTTTGAAGTTACAGCTGTGTAATGATAAATCCATGGGAATTAAAGAGTATATTACATGCACCTACCACATCTTTGTTGAGCAATTATGATCAGGCCCTTCTCAACACTACCCTAATCAGTGAGCGGGATTAAATCTGCTGCTTCATTACACACTGTATATTTGTCACTATTAGTTTTCATGATAGGATGAGGAACACTCATCTAGAAAAATAATTTGAATCTCGCCGACCTAACATGAAATACAAAAATGATTATGCCACAGTTAACAACTCTGCTTGCTCTGAAATGTGTACTATTCTCCAGAGTTTGCGGCCAGTAAAGCAAAATGTGTGATGTGTTACTTAAACTCTGATCTTCTGACATGGACACAGGCTGATTTTATGCTATATGCCAGCCGTCACTAAATGGCAGACCGTGGTCCAGACACAGACTGAATGGTGGTTCTGTCTAGACCATGATTGCAGACCTGCTTTGCCAGCCAGGCATTATCCAGCGCAGGCCCTCTCTCCACTTCAGCCCTTGTTTGCTAGGGCCACTGGCCTCCTGCCATCAGGCAGGGCCGGCTGCTACAACTACAAGTGATCTGGGCAACTGGGTTGTGTTGCCCCCCAGTGTCGGAACTACCGCCGGTGCAGCCGGTGCTCCGGCACCAGGGCCTCAGCCTGGGGGGGGGGACCTTTGTTCCTTAGGTCCGCCACTGCTGTCCCCCACCATGGTTTTTGAGTCCCCTGTTCCTTTGGGGGTCTTGGGACCATGGCACACAGTGTCCCCAATCTGCTCTGTAATCCACGGGACACATCCATTCCCTAATCTGCTCTGCGATCACTAAAGCATTAAGGCTCTCAGTACCACTTGCAGAACTACCAGGGTCGGAGCGGTCGCAATTGCGACCGGGCCCTGGTGTTCTGCCTGTTGGGGGGGGGGGGGCCCAGAGTAGTAGTAGTAGTAGTAGCCCCAGATAGTGCCACTCCTTCCCCACCGCTCTGACACCTGCAGCATGTACTGGCAGCTGTGTGGGGCTGGAGAGGCTTTCACTTGTCCAGCAGAATGTGCTGCAGGACATTCTGCTGTGTGGGAGAGGACACTCTCCACTTAGACTTGCCCCCTGGCCGCCGAGACGCGGAAGAAAGGACTATAAGTCCCAGCAATGCATTATATTTTTAAGTAGGGATGCACCAGTCAGTACTCATACTCGTGAAAATGCCCCGATACTAAATGCAGATACCGTTGTTCTGTCAAGAACGCCGACGTAGTTGAATTTGCACACAGACCAGTATTATCGAGGAAACCGGGATTTATTGACAAAGTATTCAGTTTAAATAATTAATTGTGACCGTTAATAATATGCCCTCCATCATTTATTGCCATGGATGGCATATTAATAACAGTCACAATTAACCATTACAAACGGATACTTTGTAAATAAATGTCTGTTTCATCGTCAATCCCGTCTGTGCGCAAGCGCAGATGCTGGGTCAGCGTTCTCGACAGAACACCAGCACTTTTGAACTTTTTAACTGAAGCGGCTGCCTGAGATCCCGTGCTTGCTGGGCACCTCGGCAGCCTTTCTGTTAACCACACGGTGCCATGGCAGTGGGGGGCTGGGGAGGCCCTTCATGGTTTCCTGCACCGGGGCCCTGAAGGTTCTAGTTACGCCTCTGCTCAGTACTTCGTGCACTTCAGCTGTCAGAAGTCAGCTGAAGTGCCGGGTATACAGACTATCAGGCACAGTCCTGATGTTCAATAAATAATAGACATGTACACTGGCAAAACATTTGTTTCGTTTTGTTTTGATACGGATTTTGCGTTATTTCATTTTTCTGTATTCGGGTCCGAAATTCAATTCGTTTCGGGATTCAGATTCGGACAAAATTTGTTAGCGGTAGTCTGGACGAAATTTCGTTTGTTGGAGGAAATGACATTAGAAAAAACCTTTTTTTTTTTTTTTTAGTCTGCAGAAGAGGAAAAAAAAGCATGAGTTTCCCCCCCCAATTCATACCAGACCATTTAGGTCTGGTAGGAATTTTCAGGGGGAACCCCAGCCCCCAAAAATGTGGAAAATGGTTCCTACCAGACCCTTGATCTGAGCACTGGCCCGGCAGGGCAGGAAAGGGGGGGGGGATCGAGGGCCCCCCCTCCCTGCGCCTTACCAGGCCACGTGCCCTCGGCATTGGGAGGGTGGGGACAAGGGCCTCTTCCCCACAACCCTGACCCGGTGGTTGTGGGGGTCTGTGGGCAAGGGGTCTTATTTGCATCAGGGTACCCCTTTAATTAAAGAATAAGGGGTACTTGTACCTCTACCCATTCACTAAAGGGTTAAATTAAATAGTTAGTAAAAAGTCCAGACTTTTGATAAAATCCTGTAATTGAAAAAAACCAAAAAAACTATTTTTGTCTATTCCTTTAATGAAAAAAAATAAAAAAATGGCTCCATCGATGTAATCCATCGTCACGGCTCGCTCCGCCCATTTGACATTCTCAGCTGTCAAATACGACATAGCATTCGTGAACTCCCGAATGCCTCACAGACCATCAGTTTACATTCAAGCAGGAATGTCATTTTGCGGCGAGTTTTCGTTGGGTTCGGAAGGTCGTCGTGCGGCGGGACTTTTGTATTGCAGCGGGTCGGCGGGCGTCGTGCATCGTGATTGATGCTGGATTACATCAAGGGAGCCATTTTTTTTTAAATTAAAGGAATAGCAAAAAATTGTCTCTGTTTTTTCCCCCCATTTTATGGTGCTGGGGTTCCCCCTTAAAATTCCTACCACACCTAAAGGGCCTGGTAGGGATTTTGGGGGAACCCCACGCACTTTTTTTGGGGGGGGTTTGTCCTCTTCTGCAGACTAAAACATTTTTTTCATTTTATTTCTAATGTAATTTTGCTGCAACGAAATTTCGTCCAACAAATGAAATTTCGTCCAGACTACCGCTAACGAATTTCGGAATCGGAAATTCGGATTTGTTTGCATTCATTATATTTGTAATTTGGATACATGCGAATGTCCGAATTTCCGAAATTTCGTCCGAATTTCGATTCGGAATGAAACGAATCGCACGTCTAATAAATATTAAGAGCAGGTTGACCACCAACCAATATAAGGAAAAAAGCTTACTACAAACCTGCAGTTTCATATCAGGCAAACTTACAAGCTTGTACCTATGTGGGGGTGTGTGGATGCTGAATATCTCATGGGAAACTAGTGGTCCATTCAGGCCATTTAAATTTACCCCAAGTAGGCTTAGCTGGGAACCGCTGCCCAAGGCTTTGGAAGTACATAATCCAAATTCACTACCATCCATCCAACATGAAATAATAGTTTGAGCAGATTTCCCCAATCATGGAGGCTTATATGAGGTACAAAGTCTTGTGTGTTGAACTTCAGTTGTACAGCATGCTATCCTTTTTTTTTTAGAGCACTGAGCCCATTTGAAACAAGGCAAATTGCTTTCTCTAGCGTTGGGGCTGTGCTGGAAAAAGCAGCTAGCACAGCCCCAATGCATCTAGTTTGAATCCAGCTTAAAACGTTTTGAGTTCTGACTCGAAACCAGCATGCTTAAACTGAAGCCAGAGTAAAGCTTGAACTACTGATCTGCAAAGTTGTTCTGGGTCAGTGTCTCTGAAATGATTAAGGCCACTGGATCAGAATGACAGCCAGTAACCAGCAAAACAAGAGGACACCATTGGCAGCCTCCATAATTCCTACTGTGAAGTTTTCATTTAAACCCTAAATACAAATTACTTGTAAAAACACCATATTACCTATAACTAATACATATCTCAGAAGAATCCTCAAGTATCAGCCGCACTCCAGCGGTATACGTATAAAATCAACTTTATTGTGTTAATTCCAGTATGAATCCATGAGTATGCACCAATACTTTGAGTACCAATGCCGATACTTGACATTTTCATGAGAACTACCAGGGTTGCAGCGTTTGCAGCTGGGACCTGGCTCTGGCGCTCCACCAGTGGCCTGAAATCATTAGTCTGTATTGTTTTAGAAAAACTGTCACATGACATTAAACAAAAATGTATCAGTACTTGTAAGTACTTGGGCAAGTATCAGTACTTGTACTTGCAAAAATGGTATCTGTGCATCCCTTTTATTTATGTTTATAAAAACAAAATCATACATTAAAACAGTGATGTACAAATCCCAGGAGCCCCGTGTGCTCCTTACAAATGACAGCTGCCTCCTAACTTTTGAATTTTTCTCTGGTCTAGTCTTGGAACTTGAAAAGTATCTGTACATGTACTTGTACCGAGTACTGTACTTGGTATCGGTGCATCCCTAGTATACACCACCAAACAATCCCCCATGCCTTTTTCTGTTACGCGTTTAACCAAGGTGATGAGGTCTATGATTAATCCCAGGTGGAGAAACGCGTAAGAGGGGAAGGCATGGGGGATTGTTTGGTGGTGTACACTCATGGATTTATACTGGAATTAGCACAATAAAGTTGATTTTATACGTATACCGGTGGAGTGCGACTGATACGCGAGGATTCTTTTGGGAGGTGAGAAAGCACCTTTAGTCTGCACCCGGCATACGTTGCGTGTGTATGACTGAAGATAGAATTAGAGCGGTGGGACTTTGATATTTGGTTATTTAATACATATCTCAATCATTCATTTCTTTTTGTCCACAGAATTTATGATAAGATCCAAAGAAACATATTGTACAGTAATGAACCTGATGCCAAACACACAGTATGAATTCTGGGTGATTGCAATAAATGCCAGTGGAGAGAGCCCAGCAAGTGAAAATGCAGTGTATGTGACAGGTAATGGTATAGATGTATCATAATGGTAGACAAAACGTTGTAAACTGTAATATGTATGTAATGCATACAAGGTTAATTGAGACATTTTTAATGATATTGTGCTTTAAATTATGCAATTTACGTTCTTATTATATACATATATTAATACATATACACTGAGTGGGCAGATTATTATGACCACCTGACGTTTGTAGGCAAATTAGCTATAATTTTGCTCTATATGTATTAAGAAATAGCAAGATGCTATCTCTTAATACATAATATAATTTATTACTTTCTGTGACATCATCATCAGGCTTGGAAAATTCTTGCAGGGACAGTAAGGCCTTGTTCACACCAAATGCAGAGCAGATCCGGTCAGGTTTCTGCACACGCACGCTAGTCTTTTAGATGCGTTTTTGACGCGTTTTTGGCTAAAAAAAAAAAATATATGTTTTTTTTAGTTTAACATGGGCTTTCAGTGCGTTCCAGGCATTTGCATGCGTTTTTGATGCATTTCCAGATCCAGAGCAGGTAAAATGGAGCACACTGTTTTTCTGCAGGAGTAACAGGTATTTTTCTGTACTGTTCAGCAGCAATGTATTTATAGTGATTATACATGTAGATTTATTATGGTGAAATTTACATAAAAGTAATTTGAATACTTTCATATTTGTAATTGCTTGCTGTTTCCTATTTTGTTTAGAGCTACTATATGTCAGACTGTATTTCACATATTTGTAAATGCTCCCTCTGGTGTTGTATATCAGAAAATGTGATTAGCATTTCAAGCTTAAAATAGGCATGTCAGCTATTTTAAACATTTAAAGTAGAACTAAGGCCTAGTTTACATGGGTGGCGAGGGTGCAGTAAAACCATGCGGTTGAACTTGATGGACTTGTGTCTTTTTTCAACCTGACTAACTATGTAACTATGATATGCAGTTTTACTGCCCTGCAGCTGCCCGATGCAGTGTCTGCACAGTTCTGTACACATTGTGGCCCAGAAAAAAACATCCAAAGGATGTTGATGACAATTGAAATGAATGGTACTTCAATAGAAACACCCATTGGATATCGCCTCCTGAACACCAGGCAGCTGCTACTCTGCCACCCCCTGAAAAGGAATCCACCACGGATCACTTTTCAGAGGGCGGTGGAATGTAAAGCCTGTGTAAATGAGGACTAAAGCCAAAGCTTTTTTTTTTGTTTGTTTTGGATAGAGTAAGGGAGTGTTATAACCCCTGATAGTTTTTTTATGCCATCTAAAACCCCCTGGAGAGCTTTGCCTTTACTTCCTGTCCGATAGCCACAACAGGAAGTGAAAGGAAATCATTCCAAATTTAGGGAATTCCCTAGTGGTCAGTAGAGTCACCAGAACTGGTGTCCCCATCAGGCCTTGTTCACACCAAGCGCATTCCAGAAGCAGAGCAGAGCAGTTACAGACCGGATCGAAACTGCGTCCAATGTATTCCAATGGTATTTTGGGCTCTAGTTCACACCGCAGTGTTCAGTTCCAGAGCATGTTAAAAAAAACTGCAGCAAGCCCTATTTTACCTGCTCTGGAACGCTCTGGAACGCATGCAAACGCATACAAAACACATGCAAAAGCCCTGGAATGCAGTAAAAGCCAATTTTAAACTAAAAAAAATGTTTTTAACCAAAAACGGTTCGGAACGCATCAAAAACGCTGCAAAAAAAACGCTGCAAAAACTCATGCAGATCTGGCCTGCATTTGGTGTGAACAAGCCCTTAGAAGACACTGTTTTGTTCTGATGACAACACACAATTTTGGGATTTTCGGTGATAACAGTCACCAGGACAAATAGAGAGGGTGAATCTCCCTGACAGGGACACAGACAGCAATACAAATCTTTCAGGTTTTCTAATCCCTCTCCACTCTATCCAAATCTAAAAAAAGTTTTGGCTTTAGTTGCATTTTTAATGGCTGCATGGGCAAGGACACATAGTATAGACCCTGAAGAAGAAACAATTGTTGAAAGTTCATTTGGCTAGGGGCCGGTTCACACCAAACCAAATCCCTGCATTTGGGGGGTGGGAGGGGGTGCGGTGGTGCGTTGAAATGAATGGCACCGCAGCCACGCCCCCCCCCCCCCCCCCAAGTGCCTGCGTTCTGGTCCAGTGTGATCTGTAAAAATGCTGCATGCACTATTATTTCAGATCGCACTGGACCGGAACGCAAGCACTAATATGTCACGCGTTCGGGAGCGGGCGATTGCTCTGCGGGCGGAGCTATTCTCTTCAATGCACCGCCACACCCCCTCCCGCCCCTGAATGCAAGGAGTCAGCCGGTTTTAGTTCCGGTGCGTTGCAGAGGCCAAACGCTCTGGAACGCACTCTTTGTGGTGTGAACCGGCCCTAAGTCGTACGTTTATCTGCTTTTCCCCTTTGCTGTTCTGATATAATAAGACAGGAATTTAAACAGGAACTCCAGGGAAATGTATTATTAACCCTTGCAGTGAGGCTACCCCCATACTCCAAGGGTTACCTGCTCGTTTTGGTCTAGGGAGGAAAAAAACAAAGATATACTCACCTGATCCTCAGAGATGGCCAGCTCTTAAGGTGGCCATGCACCTTACAACCATTGTACAACTTTTTTTGTCCAGACATCTCACCCTTGTTCAATTTTTGTTCAGCTAGCCCATCATGCACAGACCAATGTAGTTCACAATTAACGCTCGTCAGCATCTCCACCTGGCCTATTTTAGTCGATCGAAAGAACGGATTTTCGTTTGAGCATGTGCCGTTTTCATCTTTTGATTTTTGTTATACATCAACGCCACTAACCTGTCAATTTTCATCCAACTAGACGAAAATTGTCTAGCCTGCTTGACAAAAATGCAATCGCAGACGAAAATCTGCCTATAATGGTTAGGTTTATGGGCACCTTTAGACTGGCACGTGACACCTCTCTATCCCTCCGCTGCAAAGGTCTAAGGTCCCGGAAATCATTATGTTCTATACACTATGTATAGGACGCGAGGACGCTGACGGATATTCCAACGCTGCTGCATAGAAGGAGACAGGCTGGAGGGAGCGCTGTCACAGCCGTCCGGATCCAAGGATTGGGTGAGTATATCTTTTTTTATTTTCCTCCCTAGACCAAAACGAGTAGTTAACCCTTGCAGTTTGGTGGTAGCCCCACTACAAGGGTTAATAATAATTTCCCCCGGGAATTCTGCTTTAAACAGTCATAGACAGTCCAATGCATTTGAAGGGGGATAAATTGCTTCATTTTTTGTTTCTAGCTCCAGCCCCTCCTATCATTAAAAGACAAAAATACCTGAGTTGTGAGAATGCAGCTTTTATCTGCTGGGAATCAGGGAACATTAACCCCGTAGAATCATACGCCGTGGAAATCCAGAAAAGTACAAATGAGAAGGAAGACAATTCTATTTCAGAGTAAGTATACTCTCTATAATTGGGTGTAATATTGTTCCTTTTATTAGAATTAATGTGAAAGTACAAGGAAGAGAAAATAACCTTTCCAAAGGACTTATAGGAGCTTTATTGTTCTCTTGTCCCCGCAGAGGTGGGTTACACCCGCAGAGGGAGTGATGTTGAAATATTAAAGTGTCAGCAATAGGACATAATCATATGCACTGAGAGTTCTTGTGTTTTATGATACAGATGACCTCTGAGTGAATCCATACTACATACTACACCATACTACATTCATTCACTCCTGTCATAATTCACTATTAGGCCTTAAAGTGGACATCACGGCATTACCCAAATCTAAGCTCCCTCTGCCCTCTAGATCAGCTTTTCTCTACCAAGGTAATGTGTCACCATGGGGTGCCTTCTGGCATCCTCAGGAGTGCCTCAAAAGCTTTGCACAGCATTAAGATTTTGTATACTATAAAGAGTCCCATGGCTGAAAAAAGGTTTAGTAGCGCTGCTGTAGATGATGCCCCAGCATTACTTTTTTCTTTTACCTTGTTTCCTGTAGTAAAAAACAGCTTTTATTACTGCCCGTGACATCACCCAGAGGCTTTTGTCATTTTTTTTCAGGAGCAGCTGCTGGGAGCTCAGTTTCTATTGGCACACCCCCAGATCTACATCTCCCAGAAGTTCTTTTTCATACCCACAGTGTGTAGACAGGCTCTTATGAGCCAAGGCAGAAGCAGAAGCATTGTTTTGCTGGTAAAGACATCAATGTGGATTGGAACAGAGCGAATCAGATGAGGGGTTCTGTAGTCCAGGAAACGGGGCTGACACCACAGGCTGGGATTTCAGTTCTGCACAGGCACTGTGTTGTCCCCACAAACAGAAAGTTAGGAGCACACTGGATGCAGCTTAAAGCATCTCTAGGCAAAAAAGTTTTAAACCCTTGCCACTTTCCCTTTAAAAGGTACTTGATGGCAGGAGCAGGGGACTGGCTCTTTACCATATGATCACTGTGACATCCAATCACAGCAATCACATGATTGATCAAGAGACTGTCCCCGGCTTCCAATCATAAACAGTGACCATGAGTTGTCAGTGACAGCTCGTTCACCTTGCTGGGAGCGCACAGTGAGCACGCTTCCAGCACAGAACAATAGACACCTATATGTAGCAGCTGGGCATTAAATCATATCTTGGCATATACATTATATGTGAGCTGATCAGGAAGGTGTTAAGCTGCATACAGCTAGCATACATGCAGTACTAAACTGTTTCATCCAGGTATTGCTGCAGTGTACTAGTTCTCCGTAATTTGCTGATCTGAGAACCCCTGCTTGAGTTGAAGAAGAGGAATCCCCAAACACACCCACTGTAGGCACTTTGCTGTCCCTCACAAATAAAAAGTCTGAAATAAAAACAGTTATACTAAGAAGCTTTGCAATAAACAAATCTGCCATGGAAATTTGAATGTGACTAGTGAGGCATGGAGCACAGGAGAAGGAGGTACACACCACAGACTCAGGGAATACACTCCCAGTGACCCTATATGGTTTTCTCTGAATTCTGGCTCCTGCAGATTACATTACTTTAAGCTAAGATAAAATGAGCAAACTGTCTGATTTTAGAATTGTTGTTGTGTTTACTGGATCAGCAATAATAACTCGCTGATAGGATTACTTGTTGACTGATATTGCTCTTTAAAGAGCCCTGTCACCAGCCTAATAATTTAAACCACAATCTTCCCATAAGGTTATATGCGAATCCTCTGTATTTTTGGCATGTTATTCACCAGTAGAAGCCTCCCTTGTTTAGACATCAAAAAGCCCTGAGACCGCTGGTGGGTTTCGCCATCTTAGATGTCATGTCAGCAGCCCCAGCTGACTCAGAGCTGCCACTCAAGCGACACTTTATGGCAGGGGTAGGCAAAACTGAGCCCTCCAGCTGTGGCAAAAATTTCAAATCACATCATGCCTTTGCCTCTGGGAGTCATGCCTGTGGCTGTCAGGTATTGCAATGTCTCATGGGATCTGTGGTTCCACCAGATGTGGGTCAAAGTTTTCCTACCCCTGCTCTATGGTATTCCCCTTTGCTTCTCCCCCACCAGCTACATAAAAGGTTATGTAGGAAGGTGAAGGGAGGGGCAGAGGAGCTTGGCCAGCACTTTCTGTAATTAGACACTCCAAGAAGAGGGGGGGGGGGT